AACGAAGGCTATATGTATATTTGCAACGGTCTACGAATGCACGTGGATCCATCAGAATCCATGGGACTCAAAAGTAGGTACACAAATAGTAAAACACAATACAACACATTAAAGTCTATAGTTTCGTTAGAGGGCGAGATACTATCCAGTTGCCCAAGGCGAATTAGGGTGTTGACTTAGGAGATACCATCCCTAGCATTTGACTGAAAAACTGCCCGCAAAGCAGCGCAGTAAATTCACGGAGTAGCGCCCATTGTGAGGCGGTGACTGTTTATCCTTTATCAAACAGGTCACAATGATTTTCAGAATTACATCAAATATGCACTGGAATACAATGCTTCGTAAGGAGGAAGAAAAGGGCATTGCGCTTATTTAGTGGCGAGTCACGTCAGCCACATCACAGTGTTGTTAAACGGATATATGCGACTTTTATAGGGAGAACACTTGCCAAGCCAAAACCCACCACTTCTTGGAATACTGCTGCCGAACCATTAGCTGGAACGGAAAAACATGAACCACCCTGCTGGCACCACGAGGAGTTTGTTTGTCAAGCCAGTGAAGGCTACTAACTTGAGACATGAGATCTGCGAATTTTGCAACCAATTATATCCGAGCACCCGGGGACATTGTCCGCCGTGTGGACGAAAATTCGCCAGACGTTGAATAAGGAAACCATCAGCGGTTACTGCTGCGCAACCAATGTGAGTGCGGTCATTCGTGACAAGTCCCCCGCTGATGCAGAACATACAATAAGCAATGCGTCTCAGACGGCAGTCCTTGGGTTGAAGCCTGGATTGAAGTGACAGGTAAAAACCAACTAAGCACTGCATATTGCACTGCGACGATCAGAGGCATTGCGGGGCACTCCGTGCAATCGAGCCGTGATATACAATAAATCTGCTGTCGGCGTGGGTGTCCCAAATATATTGTACCGTGGAACTCTTCTAACCTTAGAGGACGGTTGTGAGACTGATTTGGTCCTACCCCTAACCAATGACCTTTTTGGTATTAGCATTCCTGATGGCACTTATAAGATTTCACTGGTAGACGCGCAATACTTCAGTACGTGCGTTTACCATTGCATCCAGATGAAGTGCAGTCGCGTCGCACCGGATCGGTTTTTCGCTACATCGCTGATGAAATTGTCGTATTAGTCTGAGACCTTGTCTAAGCTTAGGATCCACTTTTTGACACGCTACGATTCATTAATGATAGCACTGCTTATTTCCAAAAATATAACATTCCGTTTTATAGTTGTGCATCTGAAGGCAACAATTATGTTAGGTAATGTAACTACCGCGTATAGGATTTTCTGCTTGCGATATCACAGCTTATATTAATATAGGTTCGAAAAGCAGACACTGCATTTTCCCACTGTAGAACTACCTGCTTCATTGGGTGGAGAGAATACGTTGTTTTGAGAACAGGTAAAAGGTATTACAAGCTGGCTGCCATTACGTAGAACAAGCAATTCAAGCGCGGAAAACAAAACTGAGGCTCGAATTCAATAACTTGGAGCAGAGTCAACATCGCGTATCCAAGTGCCTCACTGAAACTTGTACTTGCCATAACAGAAATTTGGTGATAACACGGGTATGGCTGATTAGCTGACAATCTGCTTATCATCACGTAGTTCTAAGTTAAGCAAATCATTTGTGCCGCTATTTACTGTAAGTGAGTGATAACACCTAAGTGAGCTGATTCCCTGGAACAGGAAGGATAGTAAAATCGCCCCGAGAATTGCGGATTTCCCGTTTCCGTTTGTGTGTGTCGCCTCTGGAACAACACTAATTTGGATCCGTTTTAGGACAATACATATCATGTGTGAGCACGGTTGAATGAACCACTCAAGTTCTCACATATATTAGCAAATGCATTGGTAAACGTAACGCAAAGATATGAGATATTCTCCAGGAGCAATCACAATAGTCCAACATCATAAAAAGGCAATAGTCGAGCGAAACTTCGGTGCGGATGCCAACGTGCACCGCGCGCGCACTTATCATGATTCAAGTCGCTACATCAATCGAACGAGGAGATTTCAACTTTGCGCTCAGTAAGCATGCGGCACACCGAAACACACCGCGGTTCACGCGCAGTCCACACCCCTCTGGTTACATTAGCCCCAATTCCATAGCAGCCCATTGTCTACAATCGTACGTATGAGCAACTTCATGTCATTATTCCCAAAGGCCCATTCATTTACACCCCTTCTCTTGGGTGCCTCGCAGTAGACGGACAACTGAGCGATGAAATGGGCGGACCCACCACACAATCATATTTCACGTCGAAATGAAAATACTTGAAACGTTACGTGCCAACTACCACGATCACTCGTGACTGCTTAGCCCAGGTGACAAACCGGAGTATGATGGGTATTTTCTTACTACTGACTAGCTTCAGTGTAGCCAAAAATGCCTGAATACCAATGTCCAGCGCGAGTAGGGACTCAGCAAATTGCACGAGATCTGTGCCACACGCAAGCTTTCTTCGGTAACTAGTCTGATATGCTACTAGCTTATTTGATTTTGGTCACTCAACGACGGGCGAGCTCTAATGCTTTCGCATCAAGTGGATGATATCTGATTGCCTTAAGGACGGTCCCGAAAGATATATGGAGGCAATTGACTAAAAATTATGTATTTTACTTGACCTGAAAAGATGCTGTTAATTTCGAGACGTTTCAAAATACAAGCCCATAATAATCCGATTTTTATTATAAAAACTGGAATTTTGATATCACAACTGGTTCAATTTTATTAAATGGTGTTTACTTTATTATATATCTCCTGATTTTTACAGAGAACCATAGCAATAGGTTTGGAGTCACTGCCATAACGAGCAGCAGATTGCGTTACTAATTGTTGTGCGACTGCCATGTCCTGATAATGCCTTTTTTTCTCAAACACTAAAATTACATATGTTGCTGTCATCAATCAACCGTGCTTTTCGCCTTTCTTCCTCTATGCGTATGAGTTATAAGTCTGCTATTAACTTGTCCTCTTGATTTCGAGGGTATTTATGGAATTCAATGTTGCATGTAGTTTCTTCATATCAACGTGTCGGTTATCAAGGAATCGAATAGCTTACTTGTGATCTATCCACGTCGAACACTTTTTTATTTGTATGGTTTCAATTGGAGGTAGGGAACAGCGCATAAGTACCCAGTCAGAATATGAACGAAGTGGTATTTTGGTGATGATAATCTTTTGTTCGCTATTTCCACCCTCATTATTAGCACAACGTTTGACAGGGCATTTATCGCTCATTCAATCGAATAAGGCGTCTTGACATTTGTTTATACATTCTCCGTTGGGAACTACTATGTATCCATCAACTACAATTAGGTTGAGGCGTTTGCATTGCTTTAAATCTAATGGGGTAAAGTGGTAAGCATAGGCTGAACTTGACTACAATTATCTTGCATATCAACTGTTTAATCTACAGGGGGCGGGAACAGCTTTCACTGAATTCCGATCTTAGTGGGCGAGCATTAATGTTATTCAGCATGATGAATTGCAAGTATCTAGCCAGCTATTCAGAGTGTGAACTGTGTGGGCTACCCTTTACACCTATATCTAAATTATGCGACTGCTGCCAAATCTAAGGGACAAATTTAAGGTCGTTGTATTAGGGTACGCTCTTTTGTCCAGTGCTCCAGGCCTCTTCACCACCTGTTCTCTGCTTCAGGTTTAATAGCGTAATGCGTGTGCCTCTATCATTGCCGTGCAGATCACAGTTGCCGATCCAAAGGATCAAGGAGCGAACACACCAAGCAGGTTACTATCTTCACATAGACGTGAGGATTGCTGGGAACCGTATACAAGGTGCTCAATTACCGCCAGATGCAATTGTGCTTCTAGTCGTTCAAGTGGCTTTGGTGCGGTTGTTAACCGTGCGTGCCCAACCTGGTATGTAACACACAAGCGCATTAGTTCAACATATTCACAACACTGGCACATGAGATGTGCTTTCAAATCCATGCTGGCACACAATGTCTGACTTTGAATTAGATACCGACACAAACATCACTGAATTCGCTGCACCCGCGCAGGTCGACTTCATCTTGAATGTGAAAATAGCGATTTGGAATTTCTTAATTGCTAGTTAGTCGCAGCTGCTTTCAAAAGAGACCGTCTCCCAGATGCTTTGAAAAGCACAAGACGGCATTTACAAAGTGTCGGGCTTCGTCACTTGTACGCATCCGTCGTTTTGATTAAAATGCGAATCTTTGAACACAAGCAACATGCATTCCCAGTTACGTCACTTGCGCTAATTGAGGCGAACATAAAAAGTAACATTGACAGTTCTGTGGAAAAATTTGTCCTCATGGTTCCGTCGGAACGTAAATACATCGTAATGCCTCCAACGAATTTTGCAACTTATTCTAATCATGCGATTCGTGCACGCAACCAAACAAACTGCAGTCACAGCAAGCGCAACCTGCCACCCCGTTGCGCTTTAATAAACAAAGCGACTTGCATGTTTGTCACATTACACTAGAAAAAACATGGAAGACTATTATGTGAACACTGAGTGGATATTTATCTTTCGGCACGTTCGTTAGAGATATGTGAATATTGAGTACAATCCGTTGTTGACAACTACGTATTATTTCGTCAATCAGGAGAGGGGATTTTTACTGCCAAGGTTAATATGAAGTTTAATTACTGTTTAAGCACCACATTTAGACTACTCACAAGCATTTTAACCATGGAAATTCTGTTTTGTCTAACTTTTACGGCAAGTATTTTAGCACAGCTAAACCAGATAGATCGGTTGCTTTACTGCGTTTATTTATGTTGGCTGATTACAACTGGAATAGAGAACATTTGTGTCGTGATAATGATTTATTATATATATCTGCATATATTGATGGACTTCCTTGCGTTGTTGCATCTGCAGCGCTAGCTCCATGAAGAATAGCATGCTAAAAGTAGTCTTTTCAAACAATCAATTGACGTTAGAAAAATTGCTGATGTGTACACCTATATACTTACTTGCATTCATATTCCGACAAAGTATGTTTGATCAGCTTGTAATACTCATCCGAGTTTAAAGTACTTTTGCTTGACTGGTCTTGTAAAGCAACCACCACTTCTCGAACTGTCTCATTTCGGTTCAATGTACACTGTTCTGCTAATTTTTCTTGCATCAACAGACATTTGTCCCGGTGGTCACGGAAAACTGGATTTAAGACACAGTACATTTGTACTTAAGTGTGTGATCCGATCAAAATTATAAAACATGCAAATTAAAGATTATTGCTAAATACTGTATAATGTTCACTTTGAAATGTAAACTTATATATTGAATTTTATTATATTTGGCCGGATTATACGTGTAACTTACTAAAGATACGTCTAAAATGCATATAAACGTTCTAGTAAATTTATCACGGTCTGGCTTAGTCAACCTAATACGCGAAACTTCTATTATTCTGGTTTTAACAAAATGGCCCACGAGAGGTCTCAGTCCTATTTCAAATAAACTAATAGAACAGAAATAAGATCCAGTGTTTTGCTAAGAATATTGATAGTTCGCCATATCGGGGCTTTATTATTTAACTAACTGATTTATAAATTAAGTATTCGTATTTAGTTTCAATAGTCTACTAACGGCAATCCGAAGTTCTTTGTGCTGCATTGTGCAAATATCCTAAGAGATAGAACAATTCACTGTGAATAATGTCTCACTTAAATTGCAACTAATATTGATTATATATATATTTAAAAATAAGCTGCAACCCACATTAACAATGCATTGTGAAAGCCAAAAACTAAATTCCAGGTCAAAAGTTGTAGATTAATTGTTATCATTATAACGACTTTCATAACTTCTTAGACAGCCTCCTGGTTACGTGTGATCAGTAGTTATTCAACTAGTTGAATTTTCGTAAAATCTGCTGCCGTTTACGGAGGAGTATGCATTAAAACCGCTCATATTCTCCTCACTTGTATAGGAGCATTTTCAGTATTTTCTGTGGTATTCTATAGCTTGCTTGGACATCCATACCTTTTTCAGTGTACTTAAGCTTATGTCATTATGTGTTCCATATATTAATGTTGCTGTTTTATCATTAGTGAAGCGTCACTGTGCATCATATCTTAGGCACTTTAAATCGGCAGGCCAATGAAAAAAATTTATAACGCATGCCGCCTGATTTTTAATATTTTGTCCAATATCAAGACCAGAGAAATTAATGTACTGTTATGTTTAGCAATGCCCATGTGTTAGTCAGCAAAACTGAACTATACATATGAAAAAATAGCTGCAAACAGCTAAGCAAATGCAATAGTTTATGTAGCACATACTTCTTAAATTATGTTCGTGACAAATGTAAGCCGCGGCTCGTTCAAATTTGTCCGTCTCTAGTGATATAGACCAAATGAGCTGCCGAGACATTTCTTCTTCATTGTTTCGACAAGTTTCTTCTGAACGTTTTCGCAAACATTTGAAGATGAGAATATGCCATTTGGTTCTTCATTAGTGTTACGGAAGAAGGAAAACATTAATAATGTCTATATATTGCAATCTATTTTAATTTGCACAAAGCTTGACTTCTTTTAAAAAAGACCGGAACAGTTAACGGCAGTGCGACAGGTGATTCAACTAAATTATATTGCAAGCTGAAGGCACTAAAATTTGGTCAACAGTTTGCAGCTTATAGTGAGGCCAGTTGGGATATACATGGCAGGGATACATGAAACAGTTTAAATAGAAACATTTCTTGAGCACAATCATTTTGCCGGATAATGCGATCAAACATTGGCTTCATTCGTGTGGTTTCATGGCCGTCAGCAGAATGCCTTAATATGTTTTGAAGCAGGTTGAGGTAGCTACAAGGTTGCAGCTCAAATAAACGAATTATCATTTGTTGTGTTAACTTTGAGCTACTAATAAGTATTTAGTGGCCGATAATAAGACAACATTGCTTTTTGTGGTGTCCACCCTTCCCTAACCTGTAGGATTTGCAAGTAACTTTACCTAACAAAGATACAGCTGAACTTAAGTCACTATGATAAAACGAAATACAGTTTGAACGTAGCAAGTTACCCATGTATAAAGAGAAACCATGGATTCTTGGAGCAGAAAAAACGCTTCAAAACATTTATTATTTATCAATCGCTGTGATTATACGCCGGAGGTGAATGTTTATGCAGGTAAGTCACATAGGCATAATGCGAAAGTACTATAGAAAATCGAGTCTAGATAAATGCATTATACAAACACAATTCCCTCGAAGTTATAGCGATTTTCTATGCCATAATTTTTGTGCACAATCTCTAGATTAGTTTTTCATGGCAAATTAAATTTGTGATGCGGCATTCATTTCACTCAGAAACGGCGTCTTGCTCCTAATGAACTGAAATTCATGGTTTTGATATTAATTTAACATTGGCCTACAAAACATATATTTAATGTCATTTTCCTAAGATTATTGTGTGTAGTATATATAATAAATATTTGCCCAAAAAAGAATCTTTCCATAAATGTGTTCTTTTGGCTGCTCAAATGTTTGACAATTTAATAGCTTAGTAGGTAAAATGTCATGTGCTTTTGAAGCAACATTTCAAAGTTAGTCCATTTACCAAACGATTCTGATTAATGATAGCCGCTTACATTGTCGAGTCAAATAATACCATAAAGCAGACATTTTTATATTATACTAATAACCCGATGAAAGTTTGGAGTATCAAAGGATTTTGATGCTTTTGTTATGTTTGATTGGATTGGTACATATTTACATACGAATAATCCAGAATACAGTCTTCAGACTTCAGGAGATGACAAAGTCTGTGATTATGCAACGGTAAGGTAGTCTTATCGAGTTATTATTAAGGCATAATCGTCTTCAGATCGAGGGAATGGGCCGTAAAATTCAAGCTCCAAATCCCAGCAGTGCTCCATACGCGCCCCTATTAAACACGATAAACAGAACTATAAGTTTTCAATAATGGGGATAGCAGGTGCAATTGCTAACATATTTAGCCTGATCATCGTGCGTTACTCATCAGTAACAAAAAATTAGTTATCATAGGTTGGAAATGCTAACTGAATTATCCGCTTATATTACCAACCGGGTAGTGGAATCAAAGGTGTTGTACATATGTCTTACCTACACATAGCTTCCGTTTCATTTAGTGATCCGTAGCCGAAACTGTAGCCACTGAACTGGTTTTTCGGTATTCGTACTTTATGTCTTTGTGCACAGTAGGCCAACTCTTGTTCCAATTTAAAACAATAACCCCGAACAAATTGCACAGCCACATAAGAACAAACAAGTAGTAGCAGATCTGTGAGAAAGAGGCAAATGAACAAGAAACATGCAGAAGTCTCGACATGAAGAATGCTGAAGAGAAGGAAGTTGATTTCAGCAGTATACTTGCACTTAATAAAATAACTTTCCGTACGAAAGTAATAAATTTTCCTTATCCCTTGAAGGATGCAACGGGCAAACACAGCAAACTTGATTGCGCTCGTCGTCAGTGTAATACATTTTAATGAAAACCAGCGGATTGTGAAATCAAACTTCATAAATAATATCCCATAAATGATATAGGTAGTCGTAGTCAAATTAGATCCTACGTTTTGTTTGTATTCGCAGATTTCAGTTAATGCAGTTTGATCGTCGATGGAACAAAACGGAAACGTTTGGCTGGTCCAAAATCTTTTTTAGGTGGCATTAGAAAAGGCACTCAAGGAGCACTAAATTTGTTCTCAATGCAATGATTTGAAACAAAACGATTTGTTTGCCAATGTACTTCCAAGAAATTACCCAGTGAATTAGCGCGAATATTTGAAAATAAATCACGAATGAATTAGCAATATTTTCCCTAGATTAAGAAACATTAATGTTGGAAGTTTGTGAGTTTGAGAGAGAGATATCTTCGTTATTTTGTAAATTATTTTGCATTTGACATGAACCTGAATAACTTAACTGAATGATTTATTTATCCACCCATCTTATACTTTGTGAAGACAAATTTTAACTAGGTAATTTCAAGATTTCCATAAATCAGAGTGTAACAAGTTCAATAAAATTAAGTTATATGACGTTTATTAGGTTTCGCATCTGGAGAGCATAAGCAGCAATGCAAATTTCATGAAGTCGGTTGAGAGGAATTTACGGTGGTAACATTCCTTTCGTGCTATATATCTATATGCAGCCGTAAAGTGCAATGATAAGACAACGGGTGGTGGCTCACCATTGAATTCCGGAGGGTTAAATCATGCGACGGACCCTAGACGAGTTCGCACTGACGCGTAGTTTTGCTTGCGGAGAGGCCTCACCATCATCGCCATCTTCAAGCAAATATTGAGCTGACCTTGAAGAGGTAATTCGATTTTATGGCGTGCCCCACCATACTGAATTAAGGTTGAAATATCGTTGAAACCAGTGTATGATTAAACACTGGGAACAGCATTTGAGTTTTTGCAATCTCCTCTCAAATCCAAAGGAAATAATTGCATCGAAGTGTTGGATTGTCGTACAGCAGTCACCATTAGCGCAAAGGGCTTGCAGCATGGGAGTTGAAAGACCTGTATGCATATTGCCTTTTGCAACATGGAAGCTATTTTGTATGAACTGTTAAAACACCACCTCCACGGTTGTCTTTTTCATTTGTAACACGTTCCAAGTGGCTGATGCGGTTAAGGGACTCGGAACCTCTCCATTTCCGCTCAGCCTTGTGGTCACGCAAGAGAAACAAAGCCCGACACTCCCAATAATTGGAGTGTCATCCTCGGTGACTGCGAACATTAGCCGAAGTAGAAACTCCTCTGCTTTAGCGTTAGTTACTATGGCACATAGGGGACTTGAAACCATGGCGATCACTCCTGCTGTCAAATGTAGCCGGGTCTTATCTGCGTCGCTTTCGGAAACCACGGCCCTTGCTGGTGGCAACATTTGTTAGTATAAGCGCAGCTCCAACCTCCGTTAACCGGAGTGCAGTCATGCAGCGAAAACCGTCTGAAGCGCAACCAGGCCCGAGCCAAAGCCAACCCTTTCTCATACACAAATAAATACGTTATTGACATAGTATGCTAAGTAGAAACCGACTAAATACAACCCGCTTCCTAAGCCGCCGGATCGTGAGAACAGCTCAAAACGGTTACGATGATTGATCATCATGAGCGCTCTTGAATCCGTTAAGCCTTCTAAAGCTACTAGGATATTGGAGGACCAGGACCATCAGCCTCATCTTCATTATACACGTAAGCTGCGGGTGGAAAACACCTCAGATGTTGTGCATCAATACAAAAAACAAAACGAAAACAACAAGTGGCACGCCGGCTGAGTTTCCAGTAACCAATGCACATCCTTCCGGAGAACTAAAATTCGGCTATCGTGCCGCAAAAGGAGTGTTATTTTACGCCTAAAGAATGTGCTGGTGATTGGAGCGGTACGCTAAGCGGGAGGGTGCCAACTGAAGGATCGCACAAAACAAACGCCAGTGGGACCGGCTTCTTGCCATATCAGCAAGTGTATCAAACCTAACGTGTTCCTGGTCATTAGGATCCTAGCCAGGCGGTCAGGATGCAGCAACCGACGCTAAATTCGAAGTGACGGTTTCCATTTCTTTCGACCAAGTCATCGCTTACCCTCCTCCCCTCCTCTTCCAACCACACTCCAAGGGCGCAGAAAATGCACGTTGCGGGAGTCGGTGTCTTGATGTGCGCAACAGTGGCCCCGCCATCGGAGCCTGGTGCGTGATATAATGCTAATGAGCGGTTCACTCGCACTTAATAAGACAAATACGCGACCCCAATCACGCTCATTGCTCACGAGATGCTCCCACCAGATTTGAGCTAACTGTGAAAGCAGCAGTGGTCGAAAGCGACAAGCCTCTTAATGGCTTTTATTTTGATGTGACAGGTTTCAAAATCGTACATGAGGGTTGAACGGACGGCTGCAGTATGCACTCTAAATATCAGAGTGCAAGTGATATCGCGTCTGTGTCACAGGTGGTGGTGATTGGCAAAATTATCTCTAGCTTTTGCTATACGGTTCGTAATCTCAGCTTCGATCCCACAGCGCTAATATAGAAGCCCGGATACATAAGTTCCTGAACGACTTCTGGCTGTTCACCAGAAGGGTCAGTGCAGAGGTGGGGCCCTGCTAATCTTGGAGAAGAACCTTACATTTCAATGAAACAAAGCGTAGTCCAAAAGGATAAACAGCCAGTGCTAATCGTTACAGTGCTGCTTGGAATGTTTGGAAAATATCATAGATTAGGGCAATATTGTCCGCGTATCCAATCCAAGAAGTCGCTCACTAGCAGGTAGCTCCATGCATTCTAGGTCCTGTCCAGCGAACCCTGTTTCCGATGCAACCTCGATTTTAACGAAGCACGACTTGCTGTTCGCGGATCTGGCCTTTAAGAGCGCCTACGGTCCATGGCGAAAGCCAGAGGCAAATAAATTAGAGACAATTTAGTTCAGACTGATCGTTCTATGGTTGCCTCATTCTGAACGGGAGCCAACTTAGTAAATTAGGACAATGACGGAGTGGCTTCATTCAGTCAGGACAGTGTCCTGCTTTCGAAGTTCCATTAGCAGCTCGTGTAAATCATCTACAAGAGCAAGGCCCCTGAATTTGTAGAGCGCTGAAGGAATGCTATCTGCACTAGCGGCATTATGCAAAGTAAAAAGTCTAACCTCACCCTAGGCTTCGTCACATGTGGGCGGATCTAAGGGCACTCAATGTCCGAAAGAGAAAGCGATAACTCAGACTGGCTGAATTGTCTTCAAAGTTGTTCGGTCAAAAGCTCCTAATGATTTGACAAGCTGTGTATTGGCTGTCCACTTTTGTCAAGTATTGCCTCGGTAACAAGAGGTCTCTTGATGCCTGTTTACCGTAGCAGTCAAAATAATTTAAGATGATGACCAGCGGCAGCGCCTGTTCCCATTTCCGTGTCACGGTGAGACTCATTCTTTACGGTCACACTTCACGCTAACACGCAGATTTGCCATGAGATGTTTGCGAGTCTCATTTATTCGCTTCCGAACGGAATACGTCGGCCAGCATCCATAAGTTCCAGAGGCGCTGTAGAGACGCAATATCTAGGTTGGGCATTTGATTTGCCACATGAAGACGCCTACTGATAGTGAGGTTTGAAGAATATGCGACCAGTGATCTTCGAAGGTGTTTAGTGGACGCTTACTCAGCCCAGATGCCAGCGTAGTTTAATACGCACTCAGCACACCTGGGTTTGCCAGCTAGCTGGTGTCAAGGCGTTCAGAGCGACGTTGCGGATGTCCGCCGAAAAGCAGGCGCAAGACGGCACGCACGAGAGAGTGATCGGAGTCTACGCTGGTGCCCCAAATCGAGCGACAGTTTGGAACACAGCCTCTCCAGCCGTAACTAATTGCAATGCGATCGATTTGCGTCCATGGCTGGCCCGAGACTGGTGAGCGACAAGTCGCTCTTCCCCGGATACTGTGTCGAAGTTAAAGCTCACGAGAGAGGAGCGTTCTCACAGAGGTGTAGCAACCGCACACCGTTCTCAACTCGCAAGAGGAGGAATAAGCAGGCGGGAAGGCCTGAGTAGTAGCATCCAAACCCCTATCTACTCTGATCAATGCAGCAGATAGGGCGCTGTTTATTATCCACTGCGACGGCTAGAGAGTCAAGTGATTGTTAGAATGAAAGCTCATGGTGTATTGCGTGGGCAGGTTACTGTCAGATTGTCCAAGCCTAGACAGGATAACGATTAAGGTTCTCAACCAAAGCTTTTGGTTCAAAAACCTTACCTCAACACAGCGGTGTTTAGCATTGGACTAGAGAGGACCCGTTTTATGTAATAAGGAGCCATCCTCACTCCAACCCTCAAACTGAAGGGTCAAAAGAGTGAGTTTGTCTGGCCTCTAACCATTGACAAATCTGGAATGAGTGACGGTAAATGTCCAAAATGTACCACTTAACACAGCTCAATGAATCACTGCGGCACACAAACCATCGCACCAAGTTAAGGACTAGGACCGTCTAGAACGACTGGTTTCTAAGCCAGTTGACGAAGGCTAGATGGACTTTAACATTGTTTCTGCCTTTCGTCTCCGTAGGAAGCAAAAAGGCTGCTCGGAACTTCTTCCCCTTAAGTTCGTTTGCCAGAAATAAGATGAATGCCATCGGATTCTCAGACGGACCTTAAGTCTCAAGAGGGAATACTTTTAGGTACTGCGTGACCTTTATCCAAATGGTTCGAACCGATTGATGGGCGATGTCGAAGATCTACAGAAGCGTTGAGCAAACGCTGAAGTTAATCTATACATAGTGGAAATTCACCTAGTACAG